AATGTTCAGAAGACAAGGATTTATACCTTGGCAATTGTCTTTATTTTTCTAAGGTAGGATGTCAGGTAATCACTGGAACTTGAGCCAAGATGAGGTTTTGCTTTTACTCAGAGCATCATCATGGTGTCCCTGAAAGGCTTCTTGAAGTTGCAGCTTCTAACCCACAAACCCCCATGAAGGCTGCTAAGGAATTGGTGTATAGCTCAGGCATTACAGCAAAGCCATAATTTCTTATCTCTTAGCCCTTTACTAAATTACAATTAAATTCCATCATTCAAAACTGCCTGATCTTGAGCCAGATGCATATATCACAAGAAGGCATTAAAATCTGACCTTTTCCAGTAAGATATGTCATGAGTCCATCACAGAAATGTAACTCCCTTTCAAATTAGAGCTAAGAAAGATTTGAACTTCAAAGGGGAACTCTTCAATTACAGGTGAATCAGAGGACTTTTCTAGTAACCTCTTAAAATTATGAATTCTAAAGAGAAAATAAGATGACTTTTGTGTTTCAGAGCACAAGTAAAAATGAATGAGTAACAGGTGGGAAAAAATGCTACATACAAAAAGTGAAAAAGGACTACACTGATCCATCTGTTTGAAGTCCGTTCTAAGTTTACTGGAAAACTTGAAAATCAGTAACATTTCAGCAGAGGCCCTAAAATCCAAAACAATTATCCACTGTCTCTTTTACTGGCTAAGACTTACATCTAGTGGCTTCATCAGTATAGATAGCACAGAGACTGCAAAGAGTACTGTGGGGCTTGGTGATTTCAGAGCTTGCTCTTGGAATATTTATCATTTTAGCTCAGTAAATAGCTAGTTCTTTGTCAGCAGGGAGATAAGCAGGCACCCCTATCAGTCTTGGTACTTTCAAAAGCACACTGTGGAACATCCATCTTCCCTCTGATGACCATCCAAGCCTAGAAAGTAAGTATTTAGGCCTTTGTAAAGAAGAGTCATTCAAATAAGAAAAAACTTAACTGAATAGTAACAAGAGGAAAGATGGGGACTGGGAGCAACCAGAGACAGAGATTCAAGAGCAACGGCAGGTGGGCTCTGCCATGGTTGGAGGCTGGGGCTGGGGCGGGGGGATGGCTACAAGGCAATTCTAACTGAGGAGTGTAGACTGAGGCCATACCTAGGCATCTCAATCTCCATCAGCACAAAAGCAAACCTGGTGTCCATGGGAAGCAGGATGGTTTTCCCAACATCCATTTATGTCTTCATTTAATAAATACTTATTGAGTTCCCACTGTGTATACATACATATCAGAGACATATCATGAGTATAAGGAGAAGGAAAAGAGATAATAAAGCATACGATAGGTAGAAAAAACAGTCCAAAATAAAATAATAACTAATTCGAAAGAAGAAGAAACGACGCCAATTGTGGGACTCTGTAGCTTCATGTAGAAAATAGTATTTGAGCTGGGCCTTAAAGAAAAGGTAAGATTTGGACATACAGATACACTATGTGGGACTGGTGTCCCACCCCCAGATATTTTTGTTTAATTAATCCAGGGTAAGACCAGGCATGGGTAGTTTTGCTTTATTGAACACTTCCCAGGTGATTGTTATGTGCAGCCAAGACTGAGAATCCTGAGCTAGAATAGGGCAGACATGGAGACTGGTAGTTTGTACCCTTGGAAGTTTGTACCAAAACTCTGTAAGAATACCAGCTCCCAGTGTGTCATGACTCATGAATTGACACAATGCCCCACAGATAAGATACAGAAAGAGAGACCAAAACAAAATACTGACTTCAACATAATCATAGTCCTTTGGGAAGTTCCATTTATCAGATGAAAGGCAATAACACAGGACATTTATGGACACTGTCTGGTGCTCTGGTGGACTCCCTACCAGAACAGCTCCCACCTGAAGGAACTAAATGAAGAACTGGCCACATGGAATCAGAAGTGGACAAACTCACAGAGTGTGCATAATGCTACTTTTGGATCTGTGTTTGAGAATAGAACCAGGAACACCCAATGGTCTCACCATTGTGGTGGTCTCTGTGATAATTCAATAAAGCAAGCATGAGCTTTTCTCAATGAGAAGGCACCTTTCAAAGTCTGAACTTGAGAAGGTATGATATTGTAAGCTTAGGTGGGCCAAATATTTGCACTGGGCAGCAGGGAATCTTCCAAGTGTGAGGCTTGTGAACATGTCTGAAAGAGTAAAAATGGAATCATATAGCTTTAGAGTGGCCTCCTTCTATAAGTAAGTAGAGCAACTTGTGTTCCACTTATCTACAGCTGTATAAAAAATGACTCAAAAATGAAGTGGCTTGAAACAATTTATCATTCTTTCTCATAGTTCTGTGGGTTGCCTGGCTCAGCTGACTGATTCTCCCTTGGTTCTCTCACACAGTTGTGGTCAGACAGTGGCTAGGGTCATCTGAAGGCTCCACGGGACTGGACATCTAAGATGGCACACTCACGTGGCCACTCGCTGTGAGCTCAGCTAGACCGTTGACTGGAAGGCCTACATGTAGCCTCTCTCTGTGACTTGGATTTCTCACAGTATCATGGCCAGATTCCAAAAGACAGGAAGTAGAAGCTGCCAGTTTCTCAAAGTCTGGGTCCAGAAACTGGCAAATATCATTTCCACTATATTCTGTTTTTGTTTTGTTTGCTTTTTTTTTACCTGTGACAATGATCAATTTATTGCCTCTCAGCTGTGTAATTTCTTCTTTGTCAGCAGAATTAATGTTAAGCTTTGTCAGTGGAGGTGCTGGAGGAGGGAGGGGCTTTCTCTTCCTGGTTCTGATGTGCTCCTGTTACCTCGTAGCTTCTGTAGCTCCTGGCTGTGCAGTTCAAAGCAGCCAGCAGCACGCAGCAGCAAGCAGCTTCCCCGGGCATTCCTTTGGTTTGGTTCACAACAAATTCTGAGGAGTGTCACTTCCCCGTGGGAGGTTTCTCTAGGCACCTCAGAGGGCAAGTTTCCAGCAAGTTCCAGAGTGAAGATTTCCAGCTCGTTCTTCTGGCACAGCATCAGAGCAACTTCACAGTCATGTAATGGTCATGGCCATGCCTTGACTGTATTCTGTTGACTAAAGCAGTCACAGAGCCTGCCCAGATTCTAAGAGAGGGGACTTAGACCCTATATCTCGAAAGAGGAATGTCAAAAATACAGCCATCTTTAATCTTCCACAACTTGTGAACAGATTAGCTCTTATTCTCAACACCATATATTTGAGCTTTAAATGGATATTTTTTCACAGTTCTTTAATAGCAACTCCCACAGCAAATAAAGAAGAGCAATACTATATACAATACAACTATAAAAGAGTAATATTGTGTTATTCTTCACTGCAAGCTCATCACCTATAAGTCTGAGTTGGTTTTTTCCAGCAGTCAGGATGAGTTTGCACCAAATATCTCTTCTCTCTGCCTAGTTCCCTCAGTGACCAAAAACATTATGTCTACAAAGACAGGGGCAAAGACAGGGTAAGAAGGACAATCAGTGGACCAGGACACAGATCAGGCCACACAAAAGGGTCAAATCCATAGCCTGGGTTTTACGGCCACTCTAGAATGTTTCCACAGATTGTGACTGCTGGAATTCTGCCAGCGTCAGCCCCGCAGTCCATGATGATCCAGCTCTCAAGAGCTTCTGCATCGCTAAATGCTTGCGGGGCTCAGAAATCAATATCTAATCACACTTAAGCTAGAGCCCGATATTCTGTACACTCAGCAGTGTAGGTTTCTGGTTGCTGGGTATATAAAAGTTAACGTGGGAAGCAGAACATTCGTTGGAATGAGCTGCATTAAAAATATCACCACTCTGGTTCAAATCACTGTTAATGACATTTATCGAGTGCTCATTTTGCGAGGGTCCCACTTTACCAAGAGCTATAAGATGGTACAAAGGAAACAGAAGACACTTTTTTTTTTTTTACCTCAGAAGCTAATGTTACCTTTTTCTTTTCTCACCCCTTCACTAGGAACGTAACAGCTAGATTATGTCTCAAAATCTGTCAGCTTTAAAATCCTGAGTAATGGGAATATCAGAATGGGAACATCAGCTACACCTGGTTCCCTGGTAGGAAACTGCTAGTCTCTTTTCAGTGAGGAGCATATTAAGAAACCAACTAGGCCTTTTAGTAAGCTGTTGTAGAGTCCCAGGTGTAGCCAAGTCCCTACTGTCCCTTCTCTGTCCCTAAGCTATATAATTCACACCAAATTCACAACAAAATCCCTAATGAAATTTCTAGTAGCAGCTAGACATCTAGCTGGGAAGTTTGTACATCTAGTGATGTCCCTTCCCTTTTTTATAGGCTAGCTCCCTTATCACCTAAGAAACGGATTTGTGTAACACTTCCTAGATGAATGCTTCTCAAACATTAATGTGCATATGAATCTCACTGGGGATCTTGCTACAACGCAGGTTCCAATTCAGCGGGTCTCAGATGGGGTCCTGAGATGCTGCTGCATTTCTAACAAGTTCCCAGGTAATGTTGATGCTGCTGGTCCTCAGACCACACTTTGAGGGGCAAGGATAGAGGTTACTATGGAGAGAGCCTTACCTGCTTCCGGCAGTGTTCAAAGGAAGAAAAACAAAACAAAGGTCTCCAGTTCCCTATCTTTTCCTCTCTCTCACTCAAGCACTAGAGACTATATGACAATAAAGCCTCAAGAATAGCCTTGGGAACCTCAAAATTCTCCAAGTTGGATATGAAAACTAAACTCCAACCGTGACCTCAGGTTTAAAATACCAACCCAGTTTGCAGACACCGACAACCAGAAAACACTGAAAACTTAATTTGAAAGCTTTGAATCTATCCTCACAGTCATGAATATCAGAGAATCACTTGAAATTCATTGTCTTTTTTTGACACCAAAAAAAAGAGGGTGCATGTTTGCTTGCCTTATAGGTCCTGTAAATTTGTTTCTTGACTGAGAGTTTAAGACAGAAAGTTAGAAACTAAACTTTTTCCTGAAGCATCTATATATTAGAAGCATAGAGGTTTGGATTTTTAAATTTATTTTGGTTTGAATTATTTAGATATTTGTCCTGACTCCTCAGATCATGCTAAGAACTTATTTTGTTGTTTTCCCCAAGTCTTTTATGTTCCTTATCCGCATATTATCTTAGGTCACCCTGTCCCTTAAGGTCCATAAAATTGGTTCAACCTCCTGTTCTGTACACTCTGGAATGCCTGCCCAGGACCTCTTCATGTTCCTGGGGGAACTTATGTTCTATGCTTATTTCTATTTCAAATTATACTGAATGTCTGTTCTCTACTTCTTAGCTTTTTTTTTCCTCCTAGATTATCCCCAACCCAGTCCCACCTTCATTTCAAGCTCTTGTGTTTTTTTTACTGAAGGTCATAAGTGGAGGATTTTACTGCTGCACTGCAAACAAGCAAATTTAAAGCATGTATCACACAGCACCCTTCTTGAAAATTCCAGGAGGCACCTGCCTTCAGTACATCTCTGGACCTTTCGCCTTCTTGCTGATTATTCCTCTTCCCTTCCTTCGCATTTCTCTCTCTGCACCACCTCTCTCCCTGATTGCCCCTGAACGGTCCAACTGTGTGTTCACCCCCAGTAATGCAGAGCAGTTTGGCTCTCCACATCCTCTATTCCCACACTGTGCCAAACTCACTTTTTAGGCAACATGCTAATGAAGTAGGTCCAATCTTCGGGCGCTGGTTTGTTTATTCTTGTTCCACAGATCCTTTAACCCAAAATTCACAGAGCAGCTCCTGTAGTTCAAGTGAAAAAGTGAGAGTGGTTAGTACAAGGGCTCCAAAGCTCTTAGTAAACCTATCCAAATTACATACCACTCGTTAGCATGTATCAATGAAGAGATCGGTGGACACACACAAACACTCAATTTTGGAAATCACATCACAAAGCTTTGCCTTTTTCCTCTAACTTAATTCATTCAGAAAAAGAGAAAAGCACCCCTAACATCCAAGAAGCTGACCTAGTACTGTTAGCTGGGCCTTGACATTCTCCTGTTGAACATAAACAGTTTCACAGAAAATCATCATCAAACAAGGCCACTCTGTGACCAGGATGGAATGAGACAAAAACACAGCCATTTAGTAATCATATCTAAACATAGACAAAGCGTGAACATTGTCCAGACCACAGAATAGCAGACAGCCTGGCTAATGTGAGTGACTGCTGCTTCCTTCCCAAGTACAGCTTTAGCTCTGCTGCACTCCCTATACATAAGATTTACAGGGATATTCAATAATAGAATTGTCCTTGATTTCAGAGAGTAGCAATCCAGGATGAACCTCTGCTTCCTTGGGTCTTCCCCAAAGTACTCAATCAAACAAGTTCTATAATAAGTCCTTCCTAACAGCCTCTTGCTGAGACACACCATGGTTGCCCATGGTGCGCATTCTCCCTTTCTGGAACGAGTAATAAGCATACTTGTTCAAATCCAGGGGTGTTCCTGTGGGTCTTCGACTGGAGGGCATTGACAGGAAGCAGGACGGATTTGAAACAAAGGTTGAAAAAGTAGGACCATGAATGTTTTGCCTCTGGCAGACTGTGGTACAAACAGTGGTGTGGCACAGTTGAAGTAGTGATTGTGTGGCCATTTTCTTCCAGGACGCCATTTTGCGACTACATGGAAACTAGACGACTACCACTGATGCAATCTACATGAGTCTATGTAAATAGCAGCTGTGCAACTGAAATCTGCATCAATGTTCTCTCCAGTCCAAATTGGATTTCTTCATATAATCTCTACACCTTGCATGCTGTGATGTATCTTTACACACAAAGACTTCTACATTTTTCATTTTGAATACAAAATAACATCCAGACGCTCATTTGAAGATTCCTGGCAGACTAGTGCACCACCTGTTCTTGATTTTTTTTCAACCAATTAAGCATTTGAATTGTTTCTCATCTAAATTGAATTTGCTTTTATTGTTCTTTTCCACAGCCATCAACAATATCTAGTAAACAATTGCTTAATGTGCTAAGGAAACAAAAGTGAGGTTGTAGGGAAGTGAAAATGAGAGGGGATAGTACGGAGTGAGGAAGGAGAGCTGTAACCTGGTACCAGACCTGGGACTGACCTTGTGTGAGGTGACCTTGGACAGGTCACTGCACCTCTCTGGGCTTTGGTTTCCTCTGCCATAAAATGAAGATTAGGTCTCTGAACTTTTACAAGGTAAAACTGTCACCATCCTCCTTGCTCCCCTTCACTTCCTCCTGACTCAGAACAGGAGCAACTTATTCATTCTAAGACTCTCTCTTCCATTGAGATTCCAAACTCACCCTTCCTGGGTTCAGTCAAGTTGTTGTGCTTTCTCTTGAAGCTTATATCCCCCCCTTTTTTTTCATTAACTTCTTCCCTTTTTTTTTTACCAAAAGCCCTACTACCAATTCACTGTCAAGAACTGACCAATGGCTTCTATGGTTTCTTTCTCCAGAGTCCAATTAGTAGATTTCCCGCTGACTCCATTCTTCTTCCTTTGCATCTAATCCATTTTCAACCATTCCAGTTTTCAAGTGATTTGGAAAACAGATACGAGTTCAACACAGCTCAAGGAAACATTTTGTTTTTAAAGCAGCATGTGTTGTAAATGAATTGCTAACACAACAGTGTTACACTTATAGCAATCAATATGTATTTAATAACTTGTTTGAAACAAGCCATATTTCTATTTTTCCATGAAATTAATCAGAAGTGTTCATAGAAATCTTTATGGAACACATGATTGTATGAATGTAATTTTTAATTTAATTTGCATTTAAGCAAATAGGTTACATTTTTTTCAACCAACTACTAATTTATTTTCTTTGGCTTATGGTTTTATTAATTTATGATTGCTTTTGTTAGACTAGAAAAATATATGAGAAGTCAGTTCTCTTAAAAGGACTAGACTGAACTTAAAGTCTGTGCCAGTTAAATAACTGAAAACCAGCTTTTGCAACTCTTTGAAATAGGAAGTACAGAGTTTTGACTATCTTTGCCCCAAAGACAGCAAGTAAAGAAACTCAAGGCTTGTCTCCTCTGCTCTCACATTAAGGAAGCCCTGAACCCACTCCCTGACAAGCCTCGGGACTGAGGAATAGGCACTGACAGGACTAGCCAAAGGTGTAGCTGCTTTCAAAGTGCTTTCAGTAAGTGATGTCATTTTGTCCTCATCACTCTAGGAAAGCAGAAGGGGCAGACAAGCAACCTCCCTTTTTCTCTCCACAGTCTCCTAGTGTCATATAAAAGATAATCTTCCTCACCTTCACTCATGAATTCATGCATCCAGAAACATTTACGGTGCACTTATCGTCTGCCAGCAACTGCTCTAGATCACTGGTTCTCAAAGTGTGACCCCGCCCCCCCCCAGGCCAGCAGCAGCAGCAGCAACACCTGAGAACTTGTGAGAAATACAAATTTTCAGCCCTAACCCACACCTACTGAACGAAACTCTGGGGATGGGCCAGCAATCTGTGGTTTAACAAGCCCTCCAGGCGATTCTGATGCCTGCTAAAGTTTGAGAACCACTATTTTAGATAAAAATAGGAGCAGTACACATACCTTGGCTTCAAAAGTTTCTCTAGGTCAGTGGAATAGATGGCCAGGTAAATAAATCATTAAAATATAATGAACGGGGGCTTCCCTGGTGGCACAGTGGTTAAGAATCCTCCTGCCAGTGCAGGGGACACGGGTTCGAGCCCTGGTCTGGGAAGATCCCACATGCTGCGAAGCCACTAAGCCCACGCGCCCCAATTATTGAGCCTGCACTCTAGAGCCTGCATGCCACAACTACTGAGCCCACGTGCCACAACTACTGAAGCCCGTGCACCTAGAGCCCATGCTCCACAACAAGAGAAGCCACCACAGTGAGAAGCCCGTGCACAGCAACGAAGAGCAGCCCCCGCTCGCCACAACTAGAGAAAGCCCGCATACAGCAACAAAGACCCAATGCAACCAAAAATAAATAATAAATAAATAAATTATATATATATATATATAATGAACGATATCCAGACTAATAAAAACATAGAAGAAAAGCAAAGTAAACTGACCAGTAGCATTCAGAGAAGGCCCACTGACTCTAAAGCACTGCACTGTGAAGAATTAAGAAAAAAGGAATTAAACAAACAAAATGTTCTTTAATGAGGTGTGGGATCTCAGGCCTCTGTGCTCATCAAGGGAACAACAACATCAAAAACGCTGAAACCAGTCTAGTCCAAATACAGGATCTCTGATTCTCCTTCCGAATTCTGTGACTCTCTGCTCCCACTCCACAAGGAGATTACAATCAAACTTGAAGTCAGATACTAAGAATTTCAAAAAGGTTGGATTCAGGGGCTGCTGTAGTTCATTTTCTTTGGGGAAAGGTAGTAATCAATTCTCTGAGTGGAAGGGAGGTGAGTGCTAGGCGTGTCTCTTACTTTGTTACCAGCTCCCTTATAACACCAACAACTTCCTACGGAGGAAAATCCAATGACCCATCCCTGTCTTTCTAGCCGTGATGAGAGAACGAGGGGCTTGAGGAGTTTCCTTTAGGGTTTCTCCATGCAGATCTCTTGATGGGAGCCTATATGCAAACATATCAGCATTATCCCTTAGTAACAGCTACCATCTGGATAGCACTTTTCCATTTATAAAGTGATTCATCTATGTTATCCTATTTACCTTCTTTTGGTCACAATCCTATGACCAAAGGGTCTCTTTCAATTCTTATTAAGAAAAAACTCAAAAAACCTTGTAGGATCAGTGTTATGGGTTGAATTGTGTCCTCTTAAAAATCAGACATTCAAGTCTTAACCCCCAGTGTCTCATAACTTGGAAACAAGGTCGTTGCAGACGTACTTAGTTAAGATGAAGTCATACTGGAGTAGGGTGGACTCTAATCCAATATGAACAGTGTCCTTATAAAATGCGGGAAAATGGAAACAGACATGCACACACAGAGAGAACACCATGTGAACATGAAGGCAATGATGAGGGTGACACTTCTATAAGCCAAGGAACACCCAAGATTGCCAGCAAACTACCAGAAGCTAGGAGAGAGGCCTAGAACAGATTCTCCCTTATAATCCTAAGAAGAGACAATCCTGCCAACACCTTGATTTCAGATTTCTAGCCTCCAGAGCTCTGAGATAATAAGTTTCTGTTCTTGAAGTCACCCAGGTTGTGGGACTTGTTATATTAGCCCTAACAAACTAATACAAATGGCTTCACCAAAATCTCTGAGGGGTATTGGCCACAAGTGGCTTTGGTGCCACTTCAACAGAGAGGGCACAAAAAGGAGTCAGTGTCACCCCACTGTGCCACGAACCTTATGAAGCTCTGCCATCTCACAGGCTTCCTTTCATCAACAGTGGTGCTCAGGGTCGTAACCAAAGGAGCCAGCAGAACTGGCTGGCACAATGGGATGCTTGAGGGACCCAGCAGAATCCCAGAGTAGAAGGAAAGAGGAAAAGCTGAGGCTGCCACTTGTCTGGGAAGGCATGTGTGACATGAACCCCCCATCCCCCCCATCCCATGGGGCCCCCATGAACACCTTGGGGGCTGTTACCAAGCAGGAGGTACAATTCCCCCACCAACAAGAAGAGCAAAAGTCACTGAAACAACCAGTTTAATCTGATCAGAATTTTAGTTAAGGAAATGACTCATAACTTTGAGTTCTGTTCTGGGATTGCTCTGTTCATCCTGGGAAAAGCAGAAAACTCTCACTTCCCATAGCATTAAGGTAGAGATGTTAACCAGAATCATTTTGTGTAATTA